AAAAAAAAAAGCCTTATGATAGCTATGGTGCTGTACACCTGTAATCCCAGTGCTGGGGGCACTGAGCCAGGAGACAGGGGAATCCTTAGGAGTCAGAGCTGTACAGCAAGACCCTGTACCAAATCAATCAATCAATCAATCAATCAATCCCTGATCAGAAACAGGGCTGGTGAGATAGCTCAACAGATTAAAGTGCTTGCTTAGGCAAGCACAGGAACCATGGTTTGATCCCTGGCACCACCTGCTGTGCCAGCCCCACCCATATGGTGGGCTGAGCCAGCCAAATTCCAGGTGTAGTGGTGCACACCTGTAATCCCAGCACTGGGGAGGTTGAAAACAGGAGGAGTCCAAGCTTTGTAGTGACACCCTGCAACAACCAAATACATTAAAAATAAATAAATACATAAAACCAGAAACAAGACAAGGATATTCACTGTCACCACTCTTATTCAATAAAGTTGTGGAAATATTAGTCAAAACAATTAGATAAGAAAAAGAAATAAAAGGAATGAGGACAGGAAAGGAAGAGGTTAAATTATTATTTGTGGATAACATGGCACTCTACATAGAAGACCAGAAAAAGACTTCACCGAAAGACTTCTAGATTTAATAACCAAATTCTGTAGTATAGTTAGATAAAAAAAATACTATTCATGTATACAAATAATAAACTCACTTAAAGAGAAATTACGGAAACAACACCTTTCACAATAACATCCAAAAAATAGAGCACCTGGGCATCAATCTAAGAAGGAAGTAAAAGACCTTCATATTGAAAACTACAATATATTAAAAAAGGAGATCAGAAAATACAAAGATAGCCTTTGTTCTTGGGTAAAACAACCAATATAATGAAAACTGGGATACTTCCAAAATCGTTGTACATATTTAATGCAATTCTGATCAAATACTAACAGCACCCCTCACAGAATTAGAGAAAACAATCTTACAAAATTAGAAGAGACCTAGAATAGCAAAAGCAATTCTGGACAGCAAAGGCAAATCCTGGAACATCACAACCCCTGACTTGAGATTATAGTAAAAAGTAGCTGTGGTTAAAACATCCTGGTACTGGCAAACAAACAAACAACAACAGAAAGCAGACCTGAGGATCACTGGAACAGATCAGAATATCTAGAAACAATTCTCAACACACTCAACCACTTTATTTTTGACAAAGGAGCCAATACCTTCACTGGAAGAAAGACAGCCTCTTTAATAAACGGTACCAGGAAAGTTGACTTTTTCCCTGCCAAAGATTAAAACTAGATCCACATCTTTATGCACTAAACTAAAATTGAGATGGATCAATGATCTAAATATTAAAATAGAAACACTAAATCTGCTTGAACATAGTGCTGGTAGAACTCTTGAAGATACTGGTATAGGCAAAGACTTTACGAGCAGAAGGCTGACTGCACAGGAATTACAACAAAGAATCAACAACTTGGGTCTCAGTAAAATGTTTTGCAAAACAAAAAAACTACTCACAGAGCAAAGAGACAATCCATATTGTGCGAAATTTTTTTGCCAGTGGTACCTCAGACTGGTACCTCAGACAAAGGACTAGTATTCCCCCCACCCCCCGGCGGAAACAGGAATTGAACTCAGGTCCTTGTGCTTACCAGGGAAGTGCTCATTCCACTGAGCCATCTCCCCGGCCCCAAGGATTAGTATCTAGAATACATGAAGAATTAAAAAATATAAGATCCCCCAAATTTAAAGACCTTACCCCAAAATGGGCATCTGAAATGAACAGAGTGCTGGGGATATAGCTCAATGGTAGAGTACTTTCCTCACATGCACAAGGTCCTGAGTTCAATCCCAGTACCACAAAAATAAAAAAAGCTTGCAAATTAAAAAAAAAAGAATTCTGTGAAATGAACAGTTACTTCTCAGATGAAAAAACAGAAATGACAAAGAAATACATGAAGAAAATTCAACATCACTAGTCACTTGGAACATGCAAATTAAAACAATGCTGACGTTTTCTCTCACTCCAGAAAGAATGGGTAGTATCAAGAAATCAACCCCGGGGTGTAGTGGTGCATGCACTGTTCAGGCTTAGGCAGGAGGCTTGTGAGTTTGAGGCCAGCCAGGGGTACAAAGTGAACTCAGGGCCATCCTGTATTGCACAATGATATCCTGCACTGCACAATGATATCCTGCCTCAAAAAAAGACAAAAAGAAAAAAAATATCAACCAGTAACAAAGGCTGGTGGGGGTAACTGGGAAAAAGAAGCCCTTCTCCACCGTTGGTGAGAGTATAGACTGGTGCAAGCACCGTGGAAATTAGTATGGAGATTCCTCAAAACACTAAAACTAGAGTTTCCACTCACCCTAGGTCCTTCCTTTCTTGATATCTTCCCAAAAGAATTAATAGCATTATAACACAGTGTATGCACACCCATGTTTATAGTGGCACTGTTTGTAATGGTTAAACCTTGGAAATAGCCCAAATGCCCATCAACCAATGAATGGATAAAGATCTGTTTTTTTGCTTTATATACAAGGGAGTACTACTCTGTCACAAAGAAAGTTAAGCTTGAGACATTTTTAGCTAAATGGATGCACCTGAAGACCATACTCTTAAGTGAAATAAATCAGACACACAGATTTAATTTTTTTTTAATGTATTTGGTACAGGGTCTACAGGGTATTCAGGGTCTCACTATGTAGATTGGACTCGTAGTGATCCTCCTGTTCTCAGCCTCCCAAGTGCTGGGATTACAGGTGTGTGCCATCACACCCAGTGTCATTCACCATCTCAGTGTGTCCTGGGGGTGGGGCTGGCACGGCAGTCAGGACTGAACATTGGTCGCTGCGCTCTGCCTAAATCCGCTGAACTATCTGGCCCAAGCCACACAAATTTAAAAACCATATTATTTTTATGGTATGAGAAACCAAAAGTGTAAAGAAGGCTTAAAATACATAATGGATATTGGAAAATGGGGGGAAAATGATCCCCCAAAGTAATGTGTATTCTGAGGTGGGGCTTTAAGAAAGTGGATCATTGGGTGCTCTAGTCATTGCTGGGTCAATCCGTGCATGAGTTCTAGCCACATGTGCTGTTAGGAGGTGGGGCCCAGTTGGAGGAGGTTGTCACTGGGGGCAAAGTTTGGAGGGCACATCACTTGCTCTAGTTCCTTCCCTTTTTTGTGTTTCCTGGCTGTCACAGGTTGAGCAGGTCTTCTCTCCTAGCCCCTGCGCCATGCAATTTCTGCCTATGAGCCACTGACTTCAGCCTGACCCCTCTGACACTGTGAGCCAAAACTCTCTTCTTTATGCTGTGGGTATCAGGTATGTCGTCCCAGCGACAGGAAAACTGATTAATTACAGGGGTGACTGATGTGTAGGTAATGCTGTAATCAGTAGGGTAAAATGATTAGTTTTTGATTTATTTACTTATTTATTTTATTTTCACCCCTACCCTCTAGTTTTTGTTTTAGAGCTAAGTTATTTCTCTGAGTTCTTTCTGCTCAGAACATTGACTACCATTCTTCCCCTCAGCTTGGATGGACAAACTAGTGCCTCTGTCAAAAAAAGTGCAGTCTGAATGGAGTACACAAATGCTGGCCCCAGGAGGTCGAGGTCCAGAAGTTTTTCAACGTGAGTGAGAGGAAGCCAGGAATGGCCAGGGTATAATTAGCATGGAAATTTCCCTGTCTGTTTCTCATTGCCTTCTCCTCTCTCCGTAGTAATAAAAGACCTTATACTCTGAACAAAATGAGATGAAGATTTGAGGCAAATGCCTCTTGTTCTCTTCAGAGCTGACTTTAATAACCCTTTTCTCCTTTTCCCCAAACTCCCTCCCCTTTCTTTCGGAGTGACTGGCAGTATATACCTTAATGGCCTTCAGTAGCATTTAAAGTATGAACCTGGATAAAGTGACTCGGGAGTGATTCTGGAAAATCAGAAGAACCCTAGAGGCCATGGAGTCCTGGAAGCCACATGAGGGAAGAGAGGAGAGATGGGGTCACAGGAAACCTTTCTGGGCTTACTCCATAAGGATTATTTTAACTTTTTGTTCATTGCTATCTTTCCAGCAGAGCATAGGTGTTTAGTAAATACTTGCTGAGTTAGACAGTAGATGAGTGAATCCATACCCATCAAACACCAAAGACAGAAGCAGAAGCACTGGGTTCCTTTACCTAAAAATCAGAGGCCAAGCAGTAGGCTCGTGGCCCTTGGCTGCTCCGTGTGAATATTCACACAGGTAGAAGATGTTCCAGTCAATACTTCTTTCTTTTTTGGCGGAACTGGGGATTGAACTCAGGCTCTTGTGCTTGCCAGGGAAGCGCTTATTCTACTGAGCCATCTCCCCAGTCCCAGTTCCAGTCAATACTGACTTGAACAAATAAGCCTTAGATGAATCCTGTGGTGTGGAGCCTGGTGACCCTGGCTCAGATGTTAGGTCACCCACTGGTGCATGACAGGACCTTCCAGCTATCCTCTGCCTAATGTGCGCTGATCCATGGCACTTCATGTCCACTGTCTGCAGACCATTCCTCTCTCCATCGTGCGCAGCCACCATCTGCTCTCCGTAGTCTACTCTCCACAGCCTGTCTTCCATTCATGACTGATACTCTTCAGTCCTTCAGTCCGGTCCATCCTTCTAATAAGGTTATCAACTTTTCAGTTAACTGGAGATTGTTTTCCTATTGGCCCTAAAGTACCAGCACCCTAAGAAGCGCCTCAGTACTTGACAAGCAGAATGACTGAATGTTTTACCCATCCGTGTTCCAGGTATCCTACGTCGACCTTTGGCCCCACAGTCCATCTGTCATGCCAACCACTCACATCAGATGCCCTGGATCCCAGAACCCTGAGAACAAGGCTCCGCCCCCTCAGTGGCCCCGCCCAGTCACTGCCCATTCCGGAAGTCCCTGCACCGAATCGCGGTACCCTAGCAACAGCGCGTTTCAGGGCGCCCAGTCCGCGTGCGCGGCGTCCGGTGCGAGCCAATAGTGAGGGCCCCCGGGAGCGAGGCGCAGGGGGCGGGGCTCGCCGCGGACACCGCCATTTTGGTGGAAGAGAAACAATAGGACGGAACACGGTGCGATCGGGCGGTGGCTGCAGGTAACGTCTGCTCCGTCGTGCTCATGGTTCTTATCTGCGACTTCTAGGAATGTGACTGCGGGCAGCTTGGGGCAGGGATTCTGGTCGTGCGAGGTCTCCCCAAATCATCCGGGGACATCTCTTGCCGTCGTTGTGAGACGGAGGGCTTTAGCGTCTTTGTGGAGCCACCTTCCCCCTGTCCATTGGAGAGGAGTGTTATATCTGAAAAGGTGGGAGAAATGGCCCTGCTCCGGGGACGCGGTCTCCCTGCCCGGTGAGGAACTCTTCTGCACTGGGGGTCGGTATCTTTCCTGGCGTTGAAGGCCAGGAAAAGGCCTCCCCGCGCCTTTGGGTGGGCAACACCTGCCTCGTCCTGGAGGGGGTCGACGATGGAGTCTCCGCGCTCGGGTGCGGGCAGCCCGGCGCCTCAGGTGCGGGTACCTCAGCCCGCGGACCTTAGCCATTTAGGGTGTTATCACTGGGACCGTTAGTTCGTATTGGATGGGGGAGCGATTGAATGTTTTTAAAAACGTCTAAAAATTGATCAGAAGATGCCTTAATTATACGGCTGTTTCCACCATGAGTGGAGCTTTCATTTTTTTTTTTTTCCACACTTTAAGTATAAACTGCTTTTGTCTTTTGCATTGTAATAACTTGTCTCATTTTAGGATTTTACTGTCCCAAATATCAGTAAAGTTGTAGTAACAGAAAATAAGTGAAGACAAAATGTATAAACCAGTAAATTCTCGTGCTTTTAAATATCAGGTAAAATAGAACTAATCATTACTTGAAGGTAAACGTTTTGTTAATGACATATAGGAAGAACCTTAATAAAGACCACCTGAAAGAATGGCTTAAAGAAAGGTACTTAAAATTTAAAAAATTAGCAAATATTTTGCAGGTTACAATTTTTAAAATAGAAGTCTATGATTACAGTCATTTTGTTGTGAACCTCTATTTTAAGTGTTTGCTATATATTTGCATTTTTAGCAGGTAACATCTTAAGCACTAAGCTGCTTATTTGCATTTGTTGTTGCCATAGGGTTTGGTATAATTGCATCCTGTAACTTGGTATTAAGAGAAATTTCAGGGTGGTGGTGTGATAAGAGTACTTTATCATTTTGACATTAACAAGCCAGTTTGTCGCCCAGTTACTTTTTCTTTGGAAAAAAACGTAAGAACTATTAAGTGTCATTCAGCTTAGTTTACCTGTTTTGTGATGGTAGAGTACAACCCACAGACATGGTTAGAAATCAAGTGGATAAGAGCTAGGACTGAAGTTGATGAGTAGTTGTGGAAACCAGTTTAGCCGATGTAATAGACTTCTTTTGCACTTTGGAAGGTATTTAGGTGACACAATAGTATATCAGTCCTGCATCTGCTGGAATAGTGGATGTGTCAGGGAGGAGCAGCTGCTGACTGATGAACCTCAGCCCACCTGCCTTGCAGAGGGATGCCAGAGCCTTCCTAAGCTCCAGAGATGGCTCTTGAATCTAGGCAACATGGATGAGCTGCAGCCTCCCTGAGGGCAGCTTGCTGACGTGAAAATTTTCCATTGTTTGGCCCACAGAGAGGTTGCACTGGGGAAGGATTTGCCCTTACAGTAAGGTTTTTTGACATGGTAAGATTATTGTCTTCATTTATTTTTAATTTTGTGATTGGTACCATGAATCAAACTCAGGACCTCATGCTTGCCAGGCTGGCCCTGTGCCACTGATCTACATTCCTGACCCTCATTATTGTTTTCAAAAACAAATTAAAGGGGCTGGGGAGATGGCTCAGTGGAATAAGCACTTCTCTGGCAAGTGCAAGGGCCTGAGTTCAATCCCTGGTTGGGGAGGGGTGGGAGAACCAAAAACCAAATTAAAGGACTGGGGAGATAGCTCGGCACTCTTAAGTTCCTGCCTTGCAAGGGTAAGGGCCCTGGTTTGATCCCTGGTTCTGCATGCCATGCCAGCCCCAGAACCCTGGGTGCACCTTGCTGACCACTGAAACCAGGTGTGGTGGCACACACCTGTAATCCCAGCATGGTGGAGGCTGATACAGGAGGATCACTATGAGTCCAAACTGTGTAGCAAGACCTTGTACCAAATAAATAAATATGTTTAAAGAAATTAAATCATTCTCACATGATTATATTTTAAAGCATATTTTTGTTTCTCTGCATACCATTTAATGAAAGTAACAAATAGTACTAATGTTTTGCTGCATAGTCTGATGGCAAGGAAATATCCTTTTCCCCAAGAATTGAATTTAGAGTTCACCTCAGAGTTTGAAGGAAAGACAGTTTGCCAAAATAATGCATAATTGATTTGGATCTTTCACTTATCACCAGCTTCAGAAGTTAGTTACTGGCCAGTCTTGTTTCCTGTACACTCTGCACCACCTTCTATCCCACTCTTTAGCTACGGTCTTATCTTTAAAAAAATAAAACAAAGCAGAACCTGAATCTTTTTTTTTTTTTTTTTCCCCCTGCAGAGCTGAGGATCGAATTCAGGCCCTTGCGCTTGCCAGGCAAGCACTTATTCAACTGAGCTATCTCCCCAGCCCCTGAAAACTTGAAATTTTAAGGAAGCATATTGAGAAATGCTTGCGTTACAGTGTGGTATTCGGCATCAGACCCATGGCTTTGCACAGATGGTGTATTCAGGGCCACCTCTTTTTTTTTTTTTTTTTTGTGGTACCGGGGATTGAACTTGGGACCCCATGCTTGCCAGGCACGTGCTTATATTAATGAGTTATTTATATTCTTGGATTACTATTTTATGTTTTAACTCTTTCCTATAATTTTTTTTTTTTTTTTTTGTGGTACCGGGGATTGAACTTGGGACCCCATGCTTGCCAGGCACGTGCTTATATTACTGAACTATATCTCTGGCCCTGTTCTTTTATTTATTTATTTATTTATTATTATGTATGTGGTACAGGGTCTTACTGCACAGCTCCGACTTGTAGTGATTCTCCTGTTTTCAGCCTCCTCAATGCTGGGATCTTAGGTGTGAGCCACCATGTCTGGCTGCAAAAAGTTTTTAGGAAAATTTTTAAAGGCTGGTTTTGCTCTGTAGCCCCAGCTGACCCCATACTCCAACTTGAAGCAATGTGTCAGCCTCAGCTTCCCAAGTGCTAGGATTACAGAGCAGTGTGCCACCACCCCATCTGAAATGTTAATAAATATTTCACTGCAAGCAAGGGCAGGGGCCAGGGGTTGGGTCCCCAGGCCTGCTGTGCTGGCCCTGCCCCTGGGCACGCTGAGAGGGTGATTGAGACTGGATGTGTTGGCGTGGGCCTGTAATCCCTGCTCTTGGGAGGTTGTAAACAGGCGGATCACTATGAGTCCGATCTAGTAAAACCCTGAATACCCTGTAGACCCTTCTCTAAAATACAAAAAAAAAAAAAAAAAAAAAATTGTAATTCTGAAAGAAAAAACTGGCCACAAAGTCTACAGTACCAGTCTACCTTTAAAAAGAAAACATGGTAATTATTTTTTATCAAATTGTCATGTTTACTGGGTAATTTTTAACAGATGATGTATTCAGATCAGGATTCAGATAAGATCTGTGTATGGAATTTGATTGAAATAGTTCTTTTATCTCAGTTTATGTGTGCTTTATTTTTCTTGTAACTTGTTAAAGCACCAGTCTGGGTGAGTTACCCATACGCTGACATTTGCTGACCACTCTGTGCTTTGAGCCCTTTTGGCTCTAGTGGCTATTTTCTGTGATACTGGGCTTGAACCCAGTCCACGCCCTGTGTACTGAGCTACCTCCCCAGCCATTTTTTAAGGTTCTTCACCACTGGTCTAAGCACTACTAGATTCTCCAGGTTGAATTAGGAGGAAATTTGAACTCTTGCCTTCAGGGAGGTAGATGTCCTAGGCCGTGTGTTTTTATAGGTCTTTCTTTCTTGTTTGTTGTACCCTTGCCCCTAAGAGGTTCACAGTTACAGAAATCTTGACTCTTTGTAGGTCGTTCCTAAATGTGTTTGCAGGTTAGAATCTCTGCAGCTTCAAACTCAGTGCCTCCAGTTGTCTAAACACTACTTCTTAAGGGCTTGATCACATCTTTATATTTGTGTCTGCAACTATTTTCTGTTATCTCTGATATGAGCAAAAGGAACTTGTTCTCATATGTGAAGGCCCAATATCTATCGCATCCCTCCAGTTTGATCCCCAATGTCAGTAAGCTTTTTAGTACCCTCTCTTAATTTTTTTGTGGCAGGGCCTAAGGCTTTATGGGTGTAAGGGAGAAGGCAAGGTGCCCTATGTCCTACCAAATATGCCATAGAGTAAGAGAGTTTACCTTTGGTCAGGCCATGTGGGACACATGTTTGGAATAGCTTTCAGTTGTGTATGTGTGGGGGCAGTTCTCAGAACCTGAGAGTTGTCAGCCCCATTCCCCAAGAGACCCATAAGAAAGAAACCCAGGCTGGAAAATGATGGACAGGTGTTAATTTGGTCTTAGTCCTTTGACCTCTTGGGGTTTGCAGCTGTGGCAAGAATGTTCCTGCTGTGTTCACCTTCATTCAGAACATGCCAGGCTCAGGACTGTGAGGATAATGGTTCTTCCTTCTGCTTTGGTTTTTTACATCTTCAGATAATCATTTTTTTTTTTCTTTTGAGACAGGGTTTCACTATGTAGTTCAGGCTGGCTTTGAACTTAGAAGTGATCCTCCTGCCTCTACCTCCTGAGTACTGAGATTACAGGTGTGCATTACCATGCCTGGCAAAGTAGCCAAATACTACATTTATAAGCTTGCCAAGTTGCCTGAAACATGTCTATGGTATGAAACTAACAAAGAGTCTGGAGAGCTAAAGCTCAGTTTTTTAAAAGTTTTACAGTTTTCCTTTCACAGATCTCTTTTGTCATGTTTCTCTTATGTAAGAATTGCAGCTCACATTTGCACCTTCAGAAAGATAGTGTAAGGAAGGCTTGTTAGCACCACTGATTTCTTCTGCCACTGTAATTCCACTCAAACCTGCAGGATCTCTGTGAAACAGTTTTTTTCCCTCTCTTTCTCACCTG